TTTGACGGTACATGGCCCAGTCCATCATCCCTTTGATGGGGTGAAGTTGACCTGTCCCCTTAGCAGAAAAACACCCCCAAAGCATAATGTTTCCACCTCCATGTTTGACGGTGGGGATGGTGTTCTTGGGGTCATAGGCAGCATTCCTCCTCCTCCAAACACGGCGAGTTGAGTTGATGCCAAAGAGCTAAATTTTGGTCTCATCTGACCACAACACTTTCACCCAGTTCTCCTCTGAATCATTCAGATGTTCATTGGCAAACTTCAGACGGCCCTGTATATGTGCTTTCTTGAGCAGGGGGACCTTGCGGGCGCTGCAGGATTTCAGGTCCTTCACGGCATAGTGTGTTACCAATTGTTTTCTTGGTGACTATGGTCCTAGCTGCCTTGAGATCATTGACAAGATCCTCCCGTGTAGTTCTGGGCTGATTCCTCACCGTTCTCATGATCATTACAACTCCACAAGGTGAGATCTTGCATGGAGCCCCAGGCCGAGGGAGATTGACAGTTATTTTGTGTTTCTTCCATTTGCGAATAATCGCACCAACTGTTGTCATCTTCTCACCAAGCTGCTTGGCCATGGTCTTGTAGCCCATTCCAACCTTGTGTAGGTCTACAATCTTGTCCCTGACATCCTTGGAGAGCTCTTTGGTCTTGGCCATGGTGGAGAGCTTGGAATCTGATTGATTGATTGCTTCTGTGGACAGGTGTCTTTTATACAGGTAACAAGCTGACATTAGGAGCACTCCCTTTAAGAGCGTGCTCCAAATCTCAGCTCGATACCTGTATAAAAGACACCTGGGAGCCAGAAATCTTTCTGATTGAGAGGGGGTCAAATACTTATATCCCTCATTAAAATGCAAATCAATTTATAACATTTTTGACATGCGTTTTTCTGGATTTTTGTTGTTGTTATTCTGTCTCTCACTGTTCAAATAAACCTACCATTAAAATTATAGACTGATCATTTCTTTGTCAGTGGGCAAACGTACAAAATCAGCAGGGGATCAAATACTTTTTTCCCTCACTGTATATAAAATAAATATATTATTATTATTATTATTATTATTACCGTCCCATTGTCTTTCGTTATGTCAAGCCTAGCAGCCTGAGAGACATTGCCGGTTTGGTATAAAAACTTGGTATAAGCAATGTGAACGTTGGCCTGTTTAGGGACCACCAGGGTTAGACTCTCTGGCATCTTACTGCACCTAACAAACCACTTCCCTCATAAGAACCAAACTAAAATCAAGTTCCTGGTGCGTCCCAAATGGCACCATATCCCTTATATAGTGCACTACTTTCAACCAGCTCTGGTCAAAAGAAGTGCACTATATAGGGAATAGGGTGCCATTCCAGACACGGATCAATTTTCACCTTAAACTGGTGTGTCTCATAAGAAACAGCAAGACCAGCCACAGGTTTTCATTTGTCCTATATTCATCCCTATCAAATGAATGATATGCTTTATAAAGTCAAGCAAAATAAACATTTAAAAACTACTTAGATTTGTACAAGTTACAGTATTTTATTATTTGGTCTGTTGTTATTTGGATCAACAGTATTTCAACTGTAGGGATCACTGTTTCAAAAGGTAAGGTGGAAGACAGTAGGGATCACTGTTTCAAAGGTAAGGTGGAAGACAGTAGGGATCACTGTTTCAAAGGTAAGGTGGAAGACATACAGTGATTCCAACAAATAAATGAGATTGAAAGTTGTTAGTTTCAAAGCGGGGGTGGGGGGAGATTCTAGCAATGGAGAGGGGGGGTGAGCTTTTGATTAAAGGTGTACTACACTGTTTGAGCTACCAACTGTTGGTCTACACCAATAGCAGGTGTCAGCCAATGCCTATTGAACATCTTGAGAACCTTTTGACAGTTACACCTTCCAATTATCACAAGAGAAATAAAACAAGGCAGAAAGGAAAATGATAGACGGGGCGAGGTCTTGCAACACTTTTTTCGCTGCCACCAGCGACAGATTGCAAGGTTTAGGGATGGAGAGAAGATCAGAGAGGAGATCAGAAGAGGAATAAACGGGGAGGAGAGAGAGAGAGAGAGAGAGAGAGAGACAATGAGACGTAGAAAGCTAAACAGAAAGAGTTGTGATCCCTTCAGGTGAAATATCACGTCGCTCACTACTAAACCTCCCATCTGTATTACTGTAAGACTGACCCTACCGACTGTAGTCAGCACCCCCACTCCATCTTCCCTAACGACTGACTGCAGTCTGCACCCCACTCCCTCAGCCCAATGAAACAGATGACCAGAATAGAGTCAAAGGGAATCAAAAGGGTAGACCTTGTGTAGGCCTGCCGTCAAAGCCTAGCAGTGTCAAGGTGCACAGGATGACACACCCCTTTTCTTCCTATTACAAGCAATCAACATAACGGAACATTATGATTAATATCAATAGCAAATAGCAAGTAGTAACAACTTGAATTCATTCAATTAAATGTATTTAGATAGCAAGTAGTAACAACTTGAAATCATTCAATTCAATGTATTTAGTAGCAAGTAACAACTTGAATTCATTCAAATCAATTTCTTTAGGAAAACAAAGTTATCAGAAAGTAGTTATCGATTATTTAAAAACCCAAACGTTCACAACAAGTGCTTTTGTAAAAAATGATGCACTGTTACTGTCTCTTTTCTCAATAAATGGAAAAAAGGTGAATGCAGAATTGAGACAAATCCAAGAGGTGTTTACCTTATCTGATTCCTTCCTTCCTTTTCCTCTAAAGACCTCATTTTGGGGCAAGTTACGAATTTGAAACTATAAGAATACTGTTGGTAGATCAACTCAAGACATTAGTAATGGATGTCAGGGTTAAATGGCAACAGGCAAGCAACAAAAAAAAGGAAAAGACAAAACATTACCATCCACTCTGAGATAATCTGCAAATGACATTTCATTTTCAACACTTCTAGAAAATACATTGATCTGTACAAGAGCCTCTCTGATGGTTACACACATTTATTTTATTTTTATTTTACCTTTATTTAACTAGGCAAGTCAGTTAAGAACAAATTATTATTTACAATGACGGCCTACACCGGCCAAACCCGGACGACGCTGGGCCAATTGTGCGCCGCCCTATGGGACTCCCAATCACAGCCGTTGTGATACAGCCTGGAATCGAACCAGGGGGTCTGTAGTGACGCCTCAAGCACTGAGATGCAGTGCCTTAGACCGCTGAGATGCAGTGTCTTAGACCGCTGAGATGCAGTGTCTCAGACCGCTGAGATGCAGTGTCTTAGACCGCTGAGATGCAGTGTCTTAGACCGCTGAGATGCAGTGTCTTAGACCGCTGAGATGCAGTGCCTTAGACCGCTGAGATGCAGTGTCTTAGACCGCTGAGATGCAGTGTCTTAGACCGCTGAGATGCAGTGTCTTAGACCGCTGAGATGCAGTGTCTTAGACCGCTGATGGATGCAGTGCCTTAGACCGCTGGATGCAGTGTCTTAGACCGCTGAGATGCAGTGTCTTAGAACACGCGAGATGCAGTGCTTAGACCGCTGAGAGTGCAGTGCTTAGACCGGTGAGTGCACGTGAGGCAGTGTCTTAGACCGCTGAGATGCAGTGCTTAGACCGCTGAGATGCAGTGTCTAGACGCTGAGACGCAGTATGACTAGACGTGATGCAGTGCTTAGACCGCTGAGATGCAGTGTCTTAGACCGCTGAGATGCAGTGCCTTAGACCGCTGAGATGCAGTGTCTTAGACCGCTGAGATGCAGTGCCTCTAGACCGCTGAGATGCAGTGCTTAGACCGCTGAGATGCAGTGCTTAGACCGCTGAGATGCAGTGTCTAGCGCTGATCAGTGACCGCTGAGATGCAGTGTCTTAGACGCTGAGATGCAGTGTTCAGACCGCTGGATGCAGTGCCTCAGACCGCTGAGATGCAGTGCTCAGACCGCTGAGATGCAGTGTTAGACGCTGAGATGCAGTGCTTAGACCAGTGAGATGAGTGCCTTCAGACCTGATGCATGATTGACCAGTCCTAACGTGGTATTGGCAGTGCCAACGATGAGATGCAGTGTCTAACGTCCAGGACAAACTCTTGTCCACCTTATGGTGTTTGGTTTTGCCAAATATAACTAGAAAGTAATCCCTATCATTGGATTGTCAAGTTGACTTGAATGGGTGCATAGGCTTTCACTATGTAGAGCTATTTAAGCTGTATGCGAGTGCAAGGAAGGAATAGAGCTCACCAGCTTGTAGTCCTAAAAAACAGATATTAGTTAGGATTTTCTACCTCTGGTTCGTTGGCCCTTCCTATGGGGGAAATTAATGTGGAAAATAATGGGGTTTTTGGCATATACGCCAAAAATAAGGTCTGAGGCTTAGGAGAACTTATATATGTTTTGTTTTATGAGATAATATCAGTCAGTTAACATGACCTTTATGGACTATGAAGCCTTTGTGTGCTCAAAATAAGGCTGTTGCTAACTGTCCGAGAAATGGAACTACAACATTAGTCGCAAAAATGTTCACGTCACTACTTAGCTAAACAAGTTAGTTAGCTTTCTGCTAACCAGCTCCAACGAAAACACAAGGATGGTATATTGTTTTACTCCAGCCTGCAACCATATCTCTTCAGCGGGAAGGTGCTTGTTTTATCGTTTCCCGAACGATGTTGTCCAGAGGAGACTTTGGGTCCGTCTTATAAGGTAAGCTAAGCATATTAGCTAGGTTTGCTTGCTCGCTAGCTAGCTAGCTACATGTCATCTCCCTCCTCGCTCCATATCCCTTTACAACTAACCAAACAGAACTACATGATAACCTACCATTGGGCTCGGCAGACAGAACTACATGATAACCTACCATTGGGCTCGGCAGACAGAACTACATGATAACCTACCATTGGGCTCAGCAGACAGAATTTAACAATAACCTATGCTTGAGTGTGTGTTTTTGTTTGATCCATCAAAGCCTGTTTAAAGTTATTGTTCTATATATGAACGCTGCTGTTGATGCCCTATGCTCCTCAAGGGAAAAAGGGCCTAAGTAAGTAACAATACCCTATATGCCATTTAGCAGACGCTTTTATCCAAAGCGACTTATAGTCACGCGTGCGTCCATTTCACATACATGCGGTCTTGGGAATCGAACCCACTATCCTGGTGTTGCAAGCGCAACGCTCTACCAACTGAGTGACAAGTAAGTTCTAACTACCAGCACCTAACTTCCTCACAGCTGGAGTACTGCGACCCGCCACAAGTGTGTGCTCCCTGCAGGATCTGGCTTACTTTGGTGTTCATGTTCTGGGAGAACTCCAGTATGGTGTCCACTCTGGTCCAAGCATCTGGGTGCTCTTTCAGCTGGGTCAGAACCTCCTGGGCCATCCTTTGCTACAATGCAGGAACAGGAATGGATGAAATCAGATTTTGAAACATAGGCGCACACACTCTTTCTCACACACACAGGGCCTAAAATGAACACCCGCCACCTGCCAAATGCGGGTAGATTTTGGCACTGGCAGGTAAGGATGTCCATTTCACCAGCCACGTTGCCGGGTGGTCAAGGCTTCACAGCGCGAGCATTACACTCGCATTAGTGAATATTAAATCGTCAAGTATGATCACATGTATAGTAAAAATAAATGCTGCAGTAGCTGTTTTCAAAGTATTTGTTTCATAGCTGGTCAATTAAAATCGCACACAGTCAAAGAACTAGGAATCCTACTATAGCCTATCCCACCTCGCACTGCAACACTCCCTGTCTGGGGGCTGTGCGCACGTGAAGAGCTGAATGAAAAATTCATTTTTTAGAAGCGCTGCGCACAGGCATAAAAGTTGGTCTAATTTACTTGAAACTAAAGTCTACTGAAGTGAGACTTTGTCTTTCTGTGTCTTGGCTATTTACATTGTTTTGTTCACAAGCTAGGTTGTTTTTCTATGTTTGAGTTTCAACTGCTAGGGAAGAGAAGACAACTTTTCTACTAGTCAGACTCAATCTCACAGGCACAAACATGACAAGTCACGTTGCCACGGTAACCCCCTGCCCTTAAAGGGCCAGGTGAACATTTGTCTCATCTGTGATATATTGGTTAAAAGACTCATGTCATAAACAAAATGAAATTACAAATATACCACATGACTTCTTACTAGTAATACATGTATTGTTTTAGAAACATTACAAAGCATGCTCATCCATTTATTTGTGTTTTGTTGGTGTAATTTTAGTGGAAAATATATATATATTTGTCTGGTAAAAAATTTGGTAGACCAAAAAGTTAATTTTATGCCCTGCACAGACACGCCACATTTAAAAAGGCAGATGCAGTTCAACTTAAACCCCTCACCAATGAGAAAGTGTGATAGAAAAGCTGTCCTGTTAATACACCACAATTTCAAACATTATTTTCTGAAATACTAACTTCTATCTCCCCCGTTCTTCTGTCTGTCCCCAAAAAGTTATAAGTAAAACTTTGTAAGGCACCTGGGCATGCGGCTATCATTGCAAAATTATAAAATCACCCAAAACTCCACTAACTTTGTGGTTACTGGACCACTTACATTTGAGTCATTTAGCAGACGCTCTTATCCTGAGTGACTTACAGTTAGTGCATTCATCTTAATATAGCTAGGTGGGACAACCACATATCTCAGTCATAGTAAGTACATTTTTCCTCAATAAAGTAGCTATCAGCAAAGTCAGTGCTAGTAAGGGGGAAAAAGTCAAGTGCGAGCGCGACTTACCTGTGTTCCGACCCCGTGGTACAGACAGTTGACCACGTTGTCCAGCAGGTTGATGTCTAGTTTCTGGCTGAAGTCCAGCAGCTGCTGCGCTGCATGGTCTGCTAACACTGTCATAACTGCTGGCATAGAGCTCTGCAAGGACGGACAGGGAGGAGGGGGGTTACATTGTGTGTGTGTGTGTGCGTATGAGGGAGATAGAGTGAATGTGCATGTAAGTCTGTGTTTGTGTGTGTGTGTGTGTGTGTGTGTGTGTGAGTGTGTGAGTGTTTTGACTGACAGAGGCAGGCAGAGAAAACTCAACAGCAACAGGCAGAGTCATGTGAATGAATGGAGCATTCCAAACAGCTAACCACCTCTCCTAACCCCTTCCCCCGCTTCCCCTCCCCTGTCAGTCACTCACATGCACAGGATGCCGGTGGCTCCTTAATTGGGGAGGATGGCTCAAAGTGATGGCGGCAAAGGAATAAATGAAATGGTATCTAACTCAAACACGTGTGTTTGAGACCATTCCATGAACTCCATTCCAGCCATTAGTATGAGCCGTCCTCCTCCCCCAGTAAACAATCATGACATGAGCAGACCCTTGCTCACTTTTTCCAATTAGTTATATCTTGTCACACAAACTACTCAAAGCTATAAATAATACAAATACACTGAAAAACAAACAATGAGAACTAAGTTTAGATCAGGCATACACCCTTTCCATAAAGGAAAGAGGATAGTGCAACATTCTGACAAGTTTTATTTGGACAATTCATAAATAGCCTTGCTTTTTCTGATATCGTTTAATAAATAAACATTAAAGTTTGTCTGACATACTGAAAATATCACGTTTATCTTGCCACCTCCAGAACCCAATCGAACCACGTGCCACACGACGTCACTTTGTTTACATCTGCACCTGACAGGCGTGGCTATTTTGAAGTTCCAACACACCTGAATTTGACAGTAAACACTGATGTATGTAGAAGAAAACTGAAATAAGCTGCTTTATCGTCTTAGATCCAATGCAATCAATCAGTTTATCTCGCTAAACACAACCACCAACTTCGTTTGATAGCTACTGTGTGAGGGTGTAGCTAACCTTAGCTGGTATTGGGTGCGTTCCAGGTCTGTATAATGCTGCGTTCAAAACAACTGGGTACACGGAAAAATACGAAGTCAAATCATGACGTCATTGATCTTCAGGTGGGAAAGCCAGAGCTCTAGAAAGAGGCCCGAGTTTGATGACCGTTCAAATCGATTTTTTCCCAGTCAGAGCTCGTTTCTTCCCGACACAGAAGTCCGACATCAGCGATTTTCGAGTTCCCATTTGTTTTCAACGCTGCATAAAACATGTAGTAAGCAGCCCACCTGACATTTATCCATCAATTGAAACACTTCGTAAGCAATAACAAGTTAGCGAAATTGGATACTGGTAGGCTAGTTTAACAAGTTCGTTTCACTTTGGGAAAATTCAACAAATCTAAATCAGATAATCTCAATCATCCTTCAACTCGATAGAAATAGTAAATACACACAGCACCACCGGCGCATTGCCCTGGCTAAATTCTGATTTGGTACCAAGCTATTGATACGACTGCCGTTCATGCCAAGACAAAAAGAGAAGTGTCTGCCATTTCTTGAGGTCCTCCATATTTACCTAGTTATCATCACCCTGACTACCAGACACGCGCCTCCCCAACCCCTCCCACTTCCACGCTTTTCAAAGGGATGGCTTGCGTCGTATATTACCTAGCTAGTTAACTAAAAACAGCAAGTAATACACGCCTAACTAGATAGCAAAAAAAATACATGTTTTTATACGTTTGACAAGTAGCCATGCATATTAATGTTTTTCTGTCTTATTAAAATAACAACTAACTAGCCGTCCAAACAGCGCAACGAGCACGGCGCATCACTGGTAACGTTATCAGAATTAGCAAACTAGCAACAAATGACATCCGCTCACACCACGGACGCTGTTTCTGACCACGGACGCCGTTTCTGACCACGGACGCTGTTTCTGACCACGGACAATGTTTCTGACCACGGACGCCGTTTCTGACCACGGACGCTGTTTCTGAGGAAGGAGTGCACGAATTAATTCAATCCCTCGTCCTCAGCATTTTGCTTGCTATCGTCACCACACACCACTCACACCCAACCCTAGCGGACTTTCTCACACACCAGCATCCCTTGTAAAGTGCATCACACAGTAACGTTACCACTTACTTACTTAACTAACTAGTAGTTACACTTTTTTAGTGATGCTGTCTGGATTTTACATTCCAAAAGTGAAATTAAAGTCTAATATATATCTATATATTTTACCCCCAAGTCAAATGCTATTTTGCACCCCAGAGTTACCTACCAAAAGTCCAAGCCTCTGACTGAAAGAAGATTGGCTTTTTTCCCCCAGGGAAGCTCGCTACAAGGCTATATACAATATCGTTGTTGTTTAGTAAGAAATAGGCTCGCTATCACTGTAACGTTAACGTTAGCTGGCTCCAATTCCAGAATGTGTATTGATGGCTGGTTAATAAGGACCACAGATGTTGATTCCGCAACTATTATCACGGCAGTAATATACTCCGATTCATTTTACGAAATAAAATAAACCTTGATTTACAATTTAATTCTTTACTATAATAATTTTGCAGCGGGGCGGTTTGAGAGATTGTATTCCTGCGCCTCTTCTCCTCGTTCAAGCAACTAAACTCACATAACCGGTTGAAACCGGTTCAGACTGGGAGATTCCATCTCGGTTTAGTTTTCAGCCGATGGCGCCGCGGAAAGTTTGGACTAACGTCACGCCCACTTTACACTCCAATTGGTGGGATATTTATTACGGACTTCATTGCTTAAACCCTATTGTGTATCTCCATTGTCAATCAACTTAAATTCGTCCAGGAGCCCACGCGACTGCTCCGCCCGTGGTCAGAAAAAGAGGGCGGACCCCGATCAAGCAGAATGGACTTTTCGATGCCTAAAACGTGAATGGCAAATAGTGCTGTAAATATTGTTTGCCAGTGTGTGCGCGTTTGTAATATTCACAATCACTTTGCAACTTGAGAAGTGTCGCTCAATAGTCTTGACTTGATTGACGTTTAGAGAAATGTATTTGCAACACTGCAAAATGATGTGACTTATCAGAACATGCATTTTTCGTTATCGACCCAGCTCACCATCACGCCGTTTTGTTGTGATCGTCACATTGCAATTCACTAGTCTGTGCTGAGCAAACTACGCGAGATATAAAGAGGGAAACGTGTTTACATTAGGGTAAAGGAGATACAGTCCACAATACAATCGCCTGACTCGTGAGCCTGTTGCTGGTAATTTTCCACCAGCCACGAGTGGGAGTGGTTACAATGAATCCGCGCACTGCACAGGGTTACAAAGATGACATGAAGGGAAATGTCCACGCTATGTGGTGGACCTCTTTGAGTTCAGAACATGACGCTACCATCAAAGACCATGTAACATTAGTCCCGATTGCAATTTAGAAGAGCTAAACAAATATGTATTGTCATTGCTGCTCTCAGTAAAGGATGCAAACATGACAGCGTTTTTTTTAACCCTCACTGTCACGTGACCCAGCGCGCCACTTGATGGAAAAATACTGGATTTAGTGTAGGCAAGCTGTACTAGTAAAGTCATCCAGTCCCAGAATTGAGAGCAAGGTTTCAGAAGGACGTACGTTATATTATTCTATAGGCTACTTTACCCAGCAACACAGCACTGTTACCCTCATTCAATGTGCTCAGTATGGTCTGAGCTATCATAGAGAGAGACATTAATAACAGCTTTTTAATCATTACATGGCTATTGCACATGTGCAATAATCAGTATGTGGTTTTCATTTTCTACACTTTTGCACACAAACAAACATGGTCATCAAATGAGCAGACCATGCACAATGTTTGATTGCCATTGTACAATGTGCACTATATTTGCAAAAGTATGTGGACACCCCTTGAAATTATTGGATTCGGCTATTTCAGCCACACCCATTGCTGACAGGTGTATAAAATCGAGCACACAGCCATGCCATCTCCATAAACCTTGGCAGTAGAATGGCCTGTACTGAACAGCTCAGTGACTTTCAACGTGGCACTGTCATAGGATGCCACCTATGGCAGTTTGTCAAAGTCAGTCTGTTAAATTTCTGCCCTGCTAGAGATGCCCCGGTCAACTGTAAGTGCTGTTATTGTGAAGTGGAAACGTCTAGGAGCAACAACGGCTCAGCCGTGAAGTGGTAGACCACACAAGTTCACAGAACAGGACCACCGAGTGCTGAAGCGTGTAGCGCACAAAAATCGTCTGTCCTTGTTTGCAACACTCACTACCGAGTTCCAAACTGCCTCTGGAAGCAACTTAAGCACGTTAACTGTTCGTTGGGAGCTTCATGAAATGGGTTACCATGGCCGAGCAGCCACACACAAGCCTAAGATCACCATGCGCAATGCCAAGCGTCGGCTGGAGTGGTGTAAAGCTCGCCGCCATTGGACTCTGGAGCTGTGAAAACGCATTCTCTGGAGTGATGAATTACGCTTCACTATCTGGCAGTCCGACGGACGAATCTGGGTTTGGCAGATGCCAAGAGAACGCTACCTGCCTGAATGCATAGTGCCAACTGTAAAGTTTGATGGAGGAGGAATAATGGTCTGGGGCTGTTTTTCATGGTTCGGGCTAGGCCCCTTAGTTCCAGAGAAGGGAAATCTTAACGCTACAGCATACAATGACATTCTAGACGATTCTGTACTTCCAACTTTGTGGCAACAGTTTGGGGAAGGCCCTTTCCTGTTTCAGCATGACAATGCCCCCATGCACAAAGCGAGGTGGAAGAATTTGACTGGCCTGCACAGAGCTCTGACCTCAACCCCATCAAACACCTTTGGGATGAATTGGAACGCCGACTGCGAGCCAGGCCTAATCACCCAACATCAGTGCCCGACCTCACTAATGCTCTTGTGGCTGAATGGAAGCAAGTCCCCGCAGCAATGTTCCAACATCTAGTGGAAAGCCTTCCCAGAAGAGTGGAGGCTGTTATAGCAGCAAAGGGGGGTACAACTCCATATTAATACCCATGATTTTGGAATGAGATGCTCGACGAGCAGGTGTCCACATAGTGCATTTCAAAA